GCCTGTATTCCCTGCTTGATCGCACCACATTCTACATCACTTAGCAGAGAGTGAAACTATATGCTTCCATTTGCTCCTTGGTCTATCCACAGCGTCCACCTGTCAGAACCGCACACTCTACAGAAGTGCGTATGCACAAAATGGTGGATAGCTCGTACGCTGTGAAATCTCCCGCCGGCACTGTGACTGTCATGACTGGCAATATTCTGAAGCTAATGGACACGTGTGCATGTCTCTCCGCCGAAAGCCATGCCGGGTAAGTGCGCTGGGTGTGTTACAATCTTTGTGCGGATATAGTAGACGAGTGAGTGTATAGAAGTGTGCATGTATATTAACTGTGTCTGAATATCATGTATGGAAGTGCGTATGCACAAGAGAGTGATGAGCTCGAAAGCTCTGAATCCGGCCGGGAAAGTGACTGTCAGGGCTGGGAATATTTTGAAGTTGATAGAGACTTGTACTTGTATCTTCGCCCGAAATCCATTCTGAGTGGGTGTGATGAGTGTGAGTCAACTTGTCTGCATATGTACGTATTTACACATGCTTCATATCACGAGGTGTATGTGTACGGATACGCGTTCGTGGGCTGCCACGGGCCACGTAGTTGTATTATTTATACCTACCCTCATGAGACTGAAAGCATACTAATTAATCGTGCACATCGAAGTCTACATACTCTATATCTAGAAAGACATCAGAAAACTCTGTTGTACGAGTCTGCAATATACACAAAACGTGTGCAATACCATGATATTTAACAGAGTAGCAGCATATTGTTTTGCAATGGATAGAAAGACATACGAACCCCTGACAACCCATCTCTCCCTGCAGATTCCCCACCGTTACAGCCAGCATGGATGATCTAGTGATTATCAACAACCCCTATGAAGGAGAACTACTCTTGGTCAAGGGCAAAGTCAACCGCGCGTTCAATACCTCCATGGAGGTATTCTATATTTGTGTTAGCATTGCAGAGATTAGATCACGTTTATGTGTGCTACTTCCGTGTGTGTGTCTGATTATACACGGTTGGACGTTGGATGTGTGGGTATATGTTGTGCTGTTGAGTTTACCCAAGTTTTTTACGCACGTATGCATACTTTGAAATAATTGGGTTATTGTCTATGGGTGTTGAAATACATCATATTATCGTTGCAAATGTATTGGTGTGCACATCGGCATAAGTTCATTCATCGTTGCATGCGTGCGGGTAGATGTGGTTGTGGCCGGGTGTAACTTTGATATAGATGAGACTCGCATAATATACGTATATATATATATATATATACATATACATATACATATATATAAATATACATTTTCACACATTGGTGATATATTTATATAATCTACATGTACTATACATCAGCGGTAGGTGCACGCGTCTATGAACATTAACAATACATATATACCTATCTACCCACAAGTGGACGTGGCCGTGGTGGTGTACAACTTTGATACAGACGAGAGCTGATCCGTATTACGGAGTACTCCTCCTTTATCGCACACTATACATCTTCAGCAATACATACACTTATACGACTATATGCATATTCATATGAATGCAGGTGGGCGTAATCGTGACAGTGTACAATTTCGATACAGATGAGAGCCGACCAGTGTGTACAGCGTACTTCACTTTCCTTGCACACGACGGTGATGGTCGCAAAGTCAAACTGCCGCTGCTACTTGCTGAAACGTGAGTCGCATATATATATATATATATATAAGTATGTATGTATGTATATGTGTGCATGTATGTATGTATGTATTTATGTATGTGTGGGTGTATGCATGGTTGTATATATATATATATATTCGTATATGTATATATATATATATATATATATATGTGTGTGTGTGTGTATATATATATATATATATATATATATATACTATATATATATATATATATGTATATATATATATATATATGTATACATATATATATAGTATTAGGAGCATCTATGTATATATACATATTCTTATACACTAATTTTTTAGTATCATACATCCCCTTACTCAATCTGATCTATCTTACACTTTTAACATAGCGACGATGAGAAGCGACGTTATGAGATGGCATTCGAACGCCGACAAATCAGAATTAGCCGCAAATCAAAGATCAGTGATATGCGCGAAACTGAAATGATGAAGAATGCGAGCATAACCACTGCTTTAAGTGGCAGTGACAAGGACGTCGACACATTATCGTTGGCAAGTCTGGATACGCTGGCTATAAACACTCTGGCTGATGCGGTGGCTGATGATGCAGGTAATTTTATATAACCATTTTTGTATTGGTATACAAATATATGTATATATATATATTATATATATATACATATCTGTATCTGTATCTGTATCTGTATCTCTCTCTGTGTGTGTGTGTATATGTATTTATATGCGTGTGCGTGTGCGTGTGCGTGTGTACATACACTCCACTTCGTATGTGTTCTTTGTCTTACTTATTTAAGTCTCGAAAACAAGAAAATTAGTGTGAATTGAGAGTGTAGTCCTATTTGGCACAGTTGACATTGGTCATACAAGCATGCTCTATATGGTATGGAAGGGTCTATCATGCTGGGTCTCTAGTTGTTTACTTGGGCACAAATGTGTGTATGTCAGTACATAGTTTCGAACTTGTGTATATTCAATCAAATTGTATAATCACTTGCTGGAAGGGACGATATCTTCACTGAATGAATTCAGCCAAAAGCTGCACAAAATTCAGGAACCTTTTCCTCCCTACTTTTGTGTATACATACATAAGCACACATGTTCATGTTTTATACTTGAGAGACCTTATATAAGTTTTTCTACGTTCCTTCGCGACAGAGGATGACGGCCATATCATGGGTATCAAAATCCACGATCAGTACCGCCGCGAATCGCTTATGTCACCATATTTTGCCAGCGCAAGTGATCTGAATGGCAAGCCAAACATTGAACCGGGTACGTC